GGAAATCACGATAATATGGCAGTTATTATATGTCATGACAGTAATAACTGTTTATGCCAGGATCCGTGTGAAAGTCATTACCGAAACAGGGACGAGTCTGACAATAACGTCTTTAACATGTTTGCGAAACGATGCAGGGAAGTGCCTCCGGAAAGCCAACAAGTGCCCGCGGAAGGTGGCGTACCTCGGGCACTACCGGCGGGACTGCGGAGAGAAATGCCTGAAGCCGGGAGCTGTGGCGAATGAATCTTCCCTTCTGCAGTACAAGGATACCGTGGCTTCAGCCGTCAAAAGGGTTCTGGTGGAACTGGAGTTGATATGAAGCGTGTTGGATCTCCTAGTCGCTTATACTTTTCGGTAATAGATGGCCTGGTGTATCTCTTTTTATGCCAGAGGTACAATATGCCCGCCTTGAATGTTATATTTAGGCATTTTATGTATTTTAATGTTAGACTTGTATCATTGTTAGATATGTATTTCTTAATTATAATAGATGACTTGATATATCTTTTTTATGCAAGAGCAACAATATGCTCGTCTTGAATGAAGATTATATCAGTATTATAGAGTAAAATAATTATTATTTCATTATTAGACCTATGTATTTCTTAATTACAATACCAATAGTGTTTAATCATACGAGCGAATGTTTAGCGTGACAAAGCGAAGCAATTGAGAATATGATGTGATCAATTAAGTGGAAAATAGCCTGTTGAAATTGAGATTGAGTGTATAATGATGTAGCCGAAAGAGTCTCAATAAGAAAATTGTTATTGCTGAAAGTTAATCAAAAGTAGTATGTAAGATTAGAATGAGTTAATGTTGATAAGTTGCTCTCTGGAATGAGTCAGTGTCACTTCCGAAGCTGCCATAATATGTCCATGCCAAATTATTTTCATGTATTGTAGATGTTTTTTCATTTAGTTTGCCAATTACATTTTTACTAGGTATTGTACTATTGATTAAGGTTTCTATTTTGTTTCATATATAAGTGTTGTTTCTTCTTCACTTCGTTATGAATCATGTATATTATTTTTTTCAATAGGCGTCCTAAGTTTCAGTATAATAATTTCGGTAATTTTCTATATTACGTCCGCATAACCGATATCGACGATTTTGGTATCGTTGGATTCCTCTCACTCTCCACATTGCAATTATATAGTTTTTATTGCGCGAAAACCCCCCGTTAGCGACAAACTTGGCCCCTATAGCAGGGGAGGGCATGAAAGGTTCCAGGGAAAATGCTGGGTTAAATAGCATTAATAATATAACGCACAGTGAAAATAACCATGGTTATTCACATAACTTTCCATTGCAGGGGGCTGCGCCCCTGCGACCCCCTGGGGGGGCTGCCCCCCAACCCCCGCCAAGAAAACAAAACCTCCACCACGTATTCCCGGCAGGCTACAGCGTTACAAAATCATCGTCAATGTCGGAGCGGCGGCCGTAATATTACAATTACCTCGTAAAATTCCCACTGAATCAGCATATTAACCTTGGAATAGTCAGCATTGTATATAGAGACGATTGTAGTATAATCAGGATGAATAGGCTGGCCCGCCCTCGTAGGCGGGTGTTGCGCCTTTTTCGATGTTACACCGATGGCCTCAAAGTCGAGTTTCCCATGCTCTGGAAAAGACATCCGTAAACCGAAATAACCGTCGCGTTCAGGAGTCAGTCATAGCCGCCGCGAGGCTGACTCCTCCGTCGGGAGAAAGCTGTATCCTCCGGCCTAGGACCTCCTGCCGGACGCACCCTGCCTCCTTAACATTCTGCGGCAAAGGAGCACCCTCCCTACTAATTAGCGGCATTAATCAATCAGGTTAGTACCTTAAAAATCCTAGGTTATTGTAGGTTATCGGCTCCGCATCTAGTTCGTGTGCGCTCTATCCTGCCGTGAATACGTGGTGGAGGTTTTGTTTCCTCAGCGGGGGTTTGGGGGCGGCAGCCCCCTGCAATGGAAAGTCATGTGAATAACCATGATTATTTTCACTGTGAGGTTATATTATTAGGGTAATTTTATATATTACGTCCGCCGCTCCGACATCGTCGCCAAGTTTGTCGCTAACGGGGGGTTTCCGCGCAATAAAACCTACATATTTGCATTGTATAGAGTGAGAGGAATCCAACGATACCAAAATCGTCGATATCGGTTATGCGGACGTAATATAGAAAATTACCATAATTTCCTAAGGATGGACCCATGTTGAGATCGTTATTGATTCGACAAAGATGCATTGGTTCTAATTGCAAAGATGTATGGACCCCACTGGAAGCGTTTTTAAATGTATTTTTCTTTTTAAATGCATATCAATATAGCCAAAATTTTGTTATAACAAATGGAATAAATCATAGTGATTATCCATGAATGGTTTGTTTGTTTAAACGTTAACACTTCAAATGGGGGGGAGGAGTAATAAGCGGGAATATTGTTACACTTGACAGAAGGTTTCATCCTATTACCCCGAACACAGGCATGTAAGTGCTGGCTACTAAAAATCTTCTTGTACCCAAGAATTTAATAATGTAATGCTTGATAAGTGAATTAACAATTATGGAATCCCTGTGTTCTGAATTGTGATGATTCAGAAAGTCTCCTGCTCTCGCCTTGAACATTAGTATAGAAAAAGATAGAATATAAATTAAAAAATAAAAACATAGAATGAGGCGATGACACACGGAATGATGCCTGCCTTGTTTGGGAATATTTATTTATCATTTACTTTTTGGGCAAATGGATACAGCAACAGACTTAGTCAAAGAAGACAATTCTGGTGGTATCAAGGAATAGATTGAGAATGGGATTATCTGTCAGAAGAATAGGGAAGGGAAAATAAAGGTTAAAAAGAAGGGACTGATTACTTTATATACAATTAAGTAACAGAAAGATACTGGAGGAATGGAAGGGGGGGGGGTGATTGTCTCGATCCCATCTCACGTTTCTTTTATAATGTGTTCATTGTAATAATTACTGATTCATAATTAGTAGGCCAAGGGAGGGTGCAAAGTAGGGTTAAACTTTGACTTGTTAGATGAGAAGAATACTTGTTTTTCTTATATCTATTGCTAAGGTTTCATTGTGATATGCCACCTGTTTATTACTGTTATAGAATAAAAAGTTAATGGCCAAGAATGTTTCTATGCCCATTCTATATTTGGCACACATGAGCCAAAGACCGTTGTCATACTACCCATATCAAAATTTTGTAAAAGTATATATTATTCCATATATGACGAACCCTTATATATATATACTTATACATTATATGTATATGTATGTGTATGTATATATATATAATATATATATATATACACTGTGTGTGTGTGCATGTATATAGTAGATATATATATATATATATATATATTATATATTATATTATATATTATATCATTATATAATCATACATATGTAATATGTAATATTATATATATATATATATATATATATATATATATATATATATATATATATATTATAAGTGTGTGCATGCATGTGTGTGTATGTGTGCATATATATATATATTATATATATATATATATTATATATATATATATATATGGTGTGTGTGTGTGTGTGTGTGTGTGTACAATATATGTGTGTGTGTATATAATATGTTATATATATATATATATATATATATATATATATATATATATATATATATATATATATATTTATACGTGATAATTTCTGATTGATTTTCCACTTGGGAACCGTAATTTCAGAAAGAAAAAGGAGAGCCAGGGCTGTGGTCTTTATTGTAACGTTTCGAAAAGTTATAACTCCATCAGACTAAAACATAGGTACAAAGTAAATGCAAGAGAAGTGAACAGAAAAGAAGAAAAAGAAACAGACAGAAACATTGTGCGAAGATACACAACATTGGGCGAGGGTGAGACATACTAATAACAGGTGGGAAAGTGCTTGTTACGTGGTTGAGGGGTAATACAGTTAATTTTACACTCCAAGGGTGAGAAACTCCAATAGTACAGCCAGCAACAAAAGCGGTGACGCCTCGCCAGTCCTGGGCTCGGTGAGATCACGCCCTTCTTGCCTTGAAAGGAGGCCCACCTTCAAACAACCAGGGCATAGTTGGGATGGTTCGAATGTGAGGAGGTGGGGAAGTATGAAAATCAGGCGAAGTACAAAAATGACTGAAATATACATGAAGAGAGAGAGAGGGATCGCTTTTATTCCTGTTTAGTTGTTAATTTGGTTGGAAACCTGCTATAAATAAATTATCGTTTATCATTTCGAAAATTATTATCAAGAAATCTTATCACATCGTTTTATTTCAATTCCTCATCATTTCTATAAAAAAAAAACTTGGAACTGTATTCATATTTATATTCGTCAGACGGAAATATCCTTCATTCATATATGACGGATGTATATTAATATATGGCTCTGCATTATCCTAAACAGCTACTCTCCGACTTCTCTGTCTTGTATCACCTGGATCCACTATTTGGATAATGGTAAACTTTTGATATGTTATTTGGAAAAGAATATATGACATTAGTTCATACGCCATTATATTTCCAGATGTTTACAATTATTTAATTGCCAAAAATAACGATATTAGTATGTAAAATACGGATATCGAAAGCAATGGATTTCTTGAATAGTTTGGAGGGGAAACATCGACAAGGTGTTGGACACCAGCCGCTAAAACGACAAATAAAGGCGTATAGTCAAGGCTAAGGGAATATCCCCTTAGCCTTGGGTCGAGTGAAGCTTGACTCGGCCTTTCGCGGGGCGATTGAGCAAGCGTGAACGGGGAAAGAGGTTTGCTGGGAAGTGCCCAATCTTCCCAGGTCTAAAGACTGTCAATTAATAATTTGATACTAAAAGATATTTAAGGTATGGTTCGCAACCCGCCATCCCTATACCCCACCATCATGTGAAACTCTCTCTCCTCCTCTCCCCCCCCCTCCCTCCCCCTCACCTCTCTCTCTCTTCTCTTCTCTCTTCTCTTCTCTCTCTCTCTCTCTCTCTC